TTCATCTCAGGATAGACACATAAAATAGATGGGCACCAAAACATTTGATATTTTAAAAATTCAATTATCTGAGTGTTGCACCCAGAACAGACATTTTCTTCCTTTCAAATATTTTTATCATGAAAGTGATCTACTTAGCAAAACATCTCCTAACTATTCTTTTAAGAAATATGTACAAGGTCAGTCAAAATAATATACTATTGGATTAAGACTAATTTGAGCATGGTACAGGAAATTCCTAGAGGCAACTGAGTTTAAAGTCATACCAGAAGTCCCTTCTTTTCTTTTTCTTGGCGAAGTTTAGAGCTTCGATTTATCAGTCCAATCAGTGTAGGATGAATATTCTTGAAGTTTTCCAATGAAGCACTTAGAAACACCAGCTTGGGTTTGCAAGAAATCGTGGTGAATATCTAAATGAGAAGAATCATAAGGTTGCTTGGAAAGGCATCGGGATACTTAATGTGAATAGCCACCTCGTTTTTAGACTTAGTAACAGAAACATCTGTGGGGTTTTCACAGCATCTGATTTTAGTAATCTCTAATTGAGCTGGTTGGCAAACAGTGTCACAGTTGCTTTAAGACCAAATTTACCTACTGTTATGCAAAGCCAATTAATGGCACCGTGGGTTGCTTCCTCTAAAAGAAATTTTCCCAAGAGGTGAGAAAAGCTTTACGCAGTTACCATTCCTATGGAATCTAAAAGGAAAACACTGAAAATCTTCATGCAAGTAAAAGGAGAGGACACGTAGTAGTAGAAGCCTGGGGTAGAGAGTTGAGAACATGGCCATTAAAGGACCACCTGTCAAAACAGAATAAGTGACAGTCCTAAGTTGTTGGAAGAGAAGAAAAAAAAGTTGTCCTAGACCTAAAAGCTAGTCGAGATGATACTTCAGCCTCTAGTACTGAAAATCCAACACTTGGAGTGTATAGATGTCTCTTTTTTGGATCTTTCTCATTCTTTTAAAAGTTAGGTTTCTGGTCTTTCTTTTCTCTTGCTTCCTTCCTCCCTCCCTTCCATTCTGCTTCTCCCTCTCTCTCTCCTGTTCTTTTTAATAACTGTTATCTCCTGTTGAGTATGCTCAGCTGCTTTCATTTGACTTGAATTTCACAAACAGTGGCTAAACTTAGTGATTATGTTTGTCGGTAATCTTTTTAAGATGACTTTTTGCTCTAAAGCTACTAAAAGAGTCTCTGGGATTGACTCTAGGAAGTGTTGACAACCACCCCTGAGGTGAACTCTGGAGATGTTGTTGTCCAAGTTGCTCATCAGGGGTTTGTTTGCATTGGAGTTCGAATAGGGAAGTTGTTTTGCCATCTTTTTCTTCCTTTAGATTATGTATGGCTGAAATTTAGTCCATTGGGGAATTGGTGTGAATCTGGGAAAGCTTACAAGCTCCTCTAGTTGCAATTCATGAGTAGATGAAGGGAGAAGTGAGCACAGGGAAAATGTAGGATATGCCAGAAGTATGT